AGTTGAAAGTGCGGGACAAAATGTGGGACACACACACACACACACACACATACACACAAACACACACACACACATACACACAAACACACACACGCACAGATAACCCCGTGACTATATGCGTTTTGTAACGCTGTTACACAGCACAAAACGCATAATAAACGACCAGTGCACTGACTACCGGTGCGAAAATGCGCTTTTTCCACAGTTCCTCGCAGGTTTTTATCGCTAACGCACTGTTTTTTCCGGTAGATGCGTCTAGCCAAAAGAACTGAGACTAGCCACCAGGACTGTCACGAAACATCCCCTTAGTCTTTTAGCTTTTCAGATTCCTGAGTTAGCAACTTACTCGTCAAAAATTTTGACCGGCCTGTGCGTGGGAATTACGCGGGTAGGGGCACCCATTTCGGCGATGGAACCAGAATTTTCACGACGCCGACAAGTGGTACCCGAGAGCGCGAGAACGCAGAATTTGAATTTGCAAGGTCATGCATGGGCAAGGGGTCATGACCCTAAAACTCCAACTTTCTATATTCCGTGGTTCTCGAGATAAACTTCCCGCCAAAAATTTTACGAGGCTGTACATGTTATTCGCGGGCAAGGGGAGGTTAAATTTAAATTTGCAGGGCACACATGGACGGAAACATGCCTCCAAATTTTCAGCTCCCCAGCTTTTGTAGTCCCCGAGATGAAAGTTACAAACAATTTGCTGCGGACACACACACAGAGATAATCCTGTGACAATATGCGTTTTGTGCAGTTGTTGCACAGCACAAAACGCATAAAAATGATACCCACTAAGCATAAATGATTGTAGAAAAGAAAACATTCATTTGTCGGTTAGTAAGGAATAAAACAGTGACAACAGCTTGTATTCTGATGCACAAACAAAAACCGACAATACGTCACAAATGAACGAAGTGAGAATTAAGAAAACAGCTGCAGTCAACAAAACAAAATACCATAAAATTTCATTTAGAATTTTTAGAACCATTCTGGCTATCGGTAACAGCTTGCAAATAGATGGAGAGACAAGACTTGTGCTATTCTTCGCTTAGGTACAGCAAGAAATCCGAGAAGCAGAGGTGGACCGGATGAGATGGGAACAAGGGGATGAGGAGGAAGACGATGGACCTGCGGTACTTCACTGTTAATGTTTAGAAAAACGTTTTTATCGACTGGTACTCGGCAAATGTCCAATTCATAGCGGATACGCATGCAAGAAACGATATTTGAAACCGCAGCATTTACGACTAAAACTTCATACAAGTTTCACCAATCACCAAATCCGATATTCTTTATACATCGATACGCAAACAAAGGCCTGAAATGTTGCAGCGAGGCCACGACATGAGCCACTAGTACCTGCGACCACGATCCCTGTCTCGCCAATCATCGTGATATCGATCACGTGGTGACCGGTCGCGTCGACGATCACGCTTCGCACTTGGATAATGACCCGCCTCATCCGCATAACGTCCTCTGCAACAGTCAAGTTTAAACAACAAAGCCACAGAACTGCAAAAATCCCGCAGTTAAAGAGCTTTCACTGTGAATCGAGCGAAAAGTTTTCCAGAGGTTCCGAGCAGACCCGTGCTTGTTTACCACTTTGTTCTCTGACGCTATAATTTTATGGGTGTTGAACCAAACTTTTACAGATTCTCAGGATTAGCGGCCTGGAGTCTCTACGGTCTTTTGATGGTGATTTTGGCATTCAATGGGATCTTCATTGCTCATCTCCTTCTTTTTAAACAGGGATAGACAGAGAGGGAGAGAGAGAGAGTTGCAAACACAAATTCTCTCTGGATAAGTAGTAGCAGTAGTAGTTTGTCGGAAGGGAAAAGGGCCCAACGATCGAAATGGCATTACCACTTCCAAAAACGGTCAAATAATACCGGACAGGCCAATACCACTACTGTGATGCACACAAAGTTCATGAGACGCAGCTAATCATGTTGGAGCAGTGGGGATGGGCTTTCTACAAGGCTTGACAACTTCATTTACAACAAAATTATGTTAGTTAAAGGTACCTGCGCCCAAAGAGTCTGTCACCCAGTTCTGGGCTGATTGCTTTCAGATGCATGAAGTTACAGAAGCCTCCCTTATAACATGTGGTAACTTCATGCTGGCGGCAACGCGATTCGCGGAAATCTGTTACTGGCGAAAGTTCTGCGTAAATTGGCTGCCCATTGAACCTGGAATTTTCACCACTCCAAACCCGCGTCGGAGTTCAAGAGAGAGAGAGAGAGAGCAAGAAATTGGTGGCGAAATTCAACAATCAGAATTCGATTTCCTGCACAAACAGTTACTCATCAAAGCAATGCACAATAGGAGCAGTAGTGTAGGATTCTAGGCCCTTAACAATGATTACCTTTCGAGGGGTCCTCATCGCGTCAGAGAGTGAGTATGTGTAGTAAGAGGAACATCTAAATTGCATTCATTTAAAACGAATTCATTTGAAAAATGGATTGACCAGCTTTCACGGATTGCTTCATTAATTTTTCAACATGCTAACTCAACAAAACTCGCTAAATTTTGATCAGAAGCAAGTGAGAAGTTGAACTAGCAGCTGCTTTTCAGGACAATTCAGTAAAAATTTGAAAGCTAAGAAAATGCTGTGAACGTTCTGAGCTCGAAAAAATTCGTATACGATGCCTATCAGAAACGCGTCTGCAAAGGAGCCATTTATGCATCCTCAAATTAACCGATTCAATGAGGCACCGAAAGTATCTAAAACGAAAGAGATGATTTTGGGTTTGATTTGGTTTGGTGAAGCAACGTGCGCCGATTTTTCGCCAGGTACCGCGCTGGAGAGCAGCGACATTGAACATCTAAACAAGTTGATCATCAGTATTCGACTGGAGAGTGAATCCATTCGTTAACAACTTCCATGCAACGCCTCATCCAATTCAATTCTTTAACCCCATCAAATTTTTTTTTTTCACTCCCAATTTTCGATCTATTTTAATCTTACGCCAAAAAAATTAAAACATGGAACTGTTTTCAGTTTTCCTCTTTTTAGACGATAGATAGTGCACAAATTCGGACTCGGAAAAGGAATGCAGCAGCAGCAGCAGCAGCAGCAGCAGCAGATCTTTTAAGATAATTTTACATTTAGACAGTGTGAAATACGCAGAACTTAGTGCGTGCAGAACTACGAGACGCACCAACGATTCTCGAGATCCTTGACCGCTTTCTCGGCGTCCTCCTCACGCACAAATTTAACGTAGACATTCCCAATCATATGCTCACCAATGTTCTCGCATACATTCATCTCATCGATCTCGCCATACTTCCTTTCCAGTTCCGTAAACACCTCAAATAACGCAACATAATTCACTGTCCTGTATTTCTGAGAAGCACAGCGCCTCCTCTACCTCTTCATATTTTCAGCCGTTGACACTCTACATGAAATGTTC